TATCAAGATACAACGACATATCAAAGCATAACAACGTGAGTATGATATGCACCCAAAACCCGTTATCCAAGGTATTCGAACCTGGACGCTCTGATACCACCTGTGACGACCTTGGATTTTTCAACCCAGCGTGTCTTGTGATGACCCAAACTGGATCCCAGATGTGAAAGCAAAAGAATTAGAATGGCCTCAAGAGATGTACGTCATCCCTAAGGCACTGAAGTGATTCCGCATAAAGCAACTAAACTCACATGAGCCAAACAAATGAAGCAAGAATGCCTAATCCGAAAAAAAATGAACCAAGGGCAAAATGGTCATTTCTAACTTGATATGGGTGCCACTGAGCACACCATTGGAAAGACAACAAAAAATGAACAAGGTTAGACCCAAGAATCGCCCGATTCTGAGTTTGAACGAACAAGATATGAATTTAAAACAAGGTGACCTTCGCCGTTTAAGAATTACCATGAACCTATCTTACTAAAACTGGAATAACTCTTATCATAGATGGAGTTATGATGTGTGGTTGGTACCATTAGATAGCTAACTCCGAGCTCTTGAATTTAGAGTCAAGTATGACCCAAATTGGATTCGAAATGAAAGAGATATTATCTCCCAAAGTTGGAACAACAAAGCTATCCAAAAAATGCTGAGAGGGAGAGGGTCCAAGGGAGGATCGGTCGACCAAAATACAACCTTCAGCCGGCTGAAACTCAACTGTCGGTCAGCCGAACCCCAATCCTAAGCCGGTCGAAACAAGGGTTTTTCCCAAAAAGCCTACTGGAATGGTCTCGAGGAAATCGTCAGCCGACCGATGGAGCTTCATCAGCTGACCGAAACTCCTGCTGCTACTATGAAAAGCTGCTATAAAGGTTTATGTGATGCTAGGTTCATTTCTAAGGCTCTATAAGCTTTATACATGATTCGGACAAGTTTGAAAACATCTCTTAACATCATTGTAGCATTCAAAACATGCTAAAACAAGGGGAAACTCAAAATAACACCCCGTGGAGGAATTTTTCATAAAAATCATCCCAAAATAAGTCAAAAGTTGAAACTCAAGGGTTTTGTGAAATGTGGATATGCACGCACGCATAAAAAGACATTTAAGATGCATCCCAATGGTCCACGACCTCAAAATGTCAAGAATGCAAAATATAACCTCTCAATGGCCAAAAATTCCTAAAAATGGAATAAATAGAACTGCAATGCAAGACCTAGAATGAAATGGTGTTTGGCCCTTGGCCACACCTCATACATGATCATAGAAACCCTATGAAAAAGAAAGAATGGAATTCTCACACCCGATGCAAAAGTTATAAGGCAAAGACTTGTAAATTTTCAATGTTTTCACAATGACTTTTAAAGTAAAAGTGCATAGAATACATAATACATGATATTGGCCTCCGGCCTCATCTTATATATGTTGAATACAATCATGGCATTTCATGCGAACACTTGTATGAAATGGAAATGCGAAAGCTATAAGCCTTCGAAGGAGCGACAAGCATCACAAACCAAGTTTTCATACCTGAACAAATCCCCCAATAACTTCTGGGTGAGTAAACAAGTTTACTCGCAGAGAATGAGCATGCATCGACTCGATTTCTTTAGAGATTTTTAGGATTAACATGATATAGTTCAAAAGGAATCATGCCACCTAACATCTATGTCAAAGATTAGACTCAGGGATCATCCTAAGCTACCATGGAGCATAAACAACAAGAATCATGATATATCTACATATATGAAGCAAGTCAAGATTGGGATAATCCAAAGAACACGACAAGAAGGATGCTTGAGTACAGATTAACATGAATTGCATTTTTAATACAATTAAACAAGATTTGGAATAATCCGTATAACACGATAAGAAAGTACTAGAATATAAGTATCACATTATTAATGGAATTGAACAAGGTTTGGAACATACCAATTAACACGACAAGAAGTATACTCGAATACAAGTTAACACAAGTTACATTATCAATGCAATTAACATGATTGGAGCATTTCACATACACGACAAGTTTAAATCTTCAAGGAATAGTAACTTGAAATTTAAAGAGTGAAATCAACCAATGTGGAAACTCGGATATCGCCCGGATTAAAACCGTACTCTTGAGATCACTTTAGGGCTACTAACCCATGGGTACCTTTTCCTTAGTGCGCACTATAGTGTAGGAGGACAATCACCCGTACTAGAACCAAGTCCTAGCCATGACAATTCTTGATTGATATCCCAAGTCCTGAAATCAACAAGTTGTGCAACCAAGATTGTATCAAAATACAATAAATGCATTAACGACGTTTTATGCACAATCAAGATTTTGGAACACGCAAGTCATGCCCTAAGTTCATCAACTATCATGGCATGTGAAATGTCAAGAAATCATAGTGTGCATCTATATAAACTAGAATCAAGATATATATATATAGCATAAGAAATCACTGAAGTAAATATACCACAAGTATAAGATTAATGATTTAGTTACTTACAAAACAACACATGTATAATTAAACCATTCTAAGATAAATGTACAAGTCTATGAAGTACATTAATGAAACTAAGATACAAGGGTCACGATGCTTGATAAAAGAGAATAAAGTCCATGGAATTCAAGTCAAATTCACAAGTCTAACAAGAATTCACTAACAAGGCGTGATTTACTCAATGGAAGCATATAAGGAAATTTAATCTACTCAATGATTAAATTATCAAGATTTCAAGGTGAGTCAAAATGTTCTACGAACAAGTTATTTCAAGGATCATGTCAAGGCTAAGTTCATTGTCAAGTTACAAGTCCATTACATACAAGATGCAACCATGTGAATTAAATTACATACAAGGGAATTAATTAAATATAAGTTTGAAGTGAAGGAACTTGCCAAGGAAATCATGAATATAAGGTTAAAAACTTAATCTAGCTCATGGAACCATTGAATGGATTTTAATTAATTCATTTAATTAAAATCTCTAGATTTTAAAAGTCATCTAAATGACCTCAAATTAAAGTATGTTATACAACATGTCAAGACTTTTTTTAAAACCATGATACAAGTTCTAAGCAAGATGCTAACTTGAGTATTAAACTTTAATACTAGAAATATAATAATTGAAAATTTTCAAAACCTAATCAAATATTCTAGATTTAATATATATGAAACTACATGCCATGCACATCAAGAATTTCAAGTTGGAATTCCAACGGGATGAATAATACACTTGGAGCAATTTAATTAATCTATTTAATTAAATATTACTAGATTTCAAAACACTTCCAATTTCTCTCAAATTCACTTATGTTGAAGAGCATGCCAATGCCTAATATAATATGCTAACACATACTGATTTCAAGCTAGTTAAGGCCACATGATTTAATATTTTATTCAAGATAAATATTAAACAAAATCTTCGTTACTTGCCCAAATGATCTAGATTTAATATACGTCAATGACCATATCAAGGGGTAATATATTATCATACCACAAGTTTAAAACATGCTATAATCCACCAGGAAAATTAAATCTCACACATGAAATTTAAATAAATAAAAATTCTAGATTTGATATCTAAGCAAGTAAACAAGTAGTACAACCATCCATAGTATGTTATATAGCAAGAAAGTAAATTATAACACCCCCTACCTTAATTTGAGATGGAAATCTCAAATCCCCACCGAAAAAAAAGTGTTTCGAATCCGCCGAAATCGAAGGGTTTTGTCGGGGACAACACGATCTACATGAATCCGAAGGAAGCCCCATGAAAATCACAACTTGACCTCAAACCCAAACTCAAGAAATAGTCAGAAATGGATTCTAATAAGGGGGAATGGTAGAGCACGTTGAGGGGAACAATAAATGTAAAGGCCGAAGAATTTCTACCAAGGAAATCAAGTGGAGGAGAAGGAGAAAGGTTGGCAGCCAAGGAGCTCCCATGGCTACCAGCCAAGATGGTGGAGAAGATGAAGAAAATCTGAATTTTCTTTTTTAAGTCCCCTATTTATACGAAGTCTCAAAAAGTGCCCCGAAAGGGCCCCGCTAGGTCCGGAAAAGTGGAATTTGAGCAAACGCACTCAAACGGAAAAACTTCGTGAACAAAAAAGATTTAAAATGAGAAAATATGAATAACGGAAGAAACGGCGTCAAAAACTGAGTCCCGAGCAGAGAGATATGCCCCAAACAAGTTCGGCGGCAACCGGGTCCAAAAACTCTGAAATTGGAGAAAAATGACCAGAAAGAAATTCCAAGAGTCCATGACTCGACGAAATGTGAAAATGAATCCCGTACGAGGATCCAGGCTCTAGACGAGGTATTTTGCAATAACTTTCATTAATTGCACAATAGCCCCTATAAAAAGGGTTAACTGCGAAACTGCCCTAGAATGAAAATATCTTCCAAAAAATATTTTCTTAGATACCCCTGAAATAAAATATCTTCAAAAAATATTTATGAAAAACACCCCAAGAAATGAAAATAATTCCAAAAAATTGTGCATCCATACCCCTATGGACACCAAGAGCAATCAGAGTACTTTCTTGCAAAAGTAAAGATACATATTTCGAGAAAACCACTGAAGATGAAGGCACGTGAAGTCAAAAACTAACTCCTCGCATGAAAAGTGAGGTTTTGCCAACAAAGTGACAAACGGGGAAAAGACAGAATATGGAAAAGGACGAAATAGGGAAAAAGACAAAAGTGAATAGTGTCTCAAAAAGTGAAAATGCGAAAATGACTCAATCCTCAAAGAAAGTTGTCAATCCAAACAAAAGAGTCTCGGAAACCATTTCCAAGCACTCGAGATGACACTAAACGACGAGAAACAGAACTCAAAAAAGAAAATTAAACGGAAAAAATTTATCTGTAAAATTTCACGAAAAAGGAAAGGAAGATAAATGACCGAGTCATTACATGTTCTCTAGGATTAGCTTGATACCTAGCATAAACACCTATACTAAATGAAATATCTAGCCTAGTTGCTGCCAAATACAACAACTTACCAATCATACTCCTATACAAGAAATGATCAACCTTATTAGGATTAGAGTCTCTATCCAATTTGGATGAAGTACTCATAGGAGTTTGAACATGCTTTGAATTTTTCACACCAAATTTCTTAACTAGCTCCTTTACATATTTTGATTGAGATATGAAAATCCCATCATCAAGTTGTTTCACTTGGAGACCTAGAAAGAAAGTCAGTTCACTAACCATGCTCATTTCAAAAGTATTACTCATATCTTTAGAAAAATTATGAACAAGGTTATCACATGCAGCACCAAAATCAATATCATCCGTATATATTTGAGCAACAAAAAAATATTTTCCTTTCCGGAAAATAAACAATGTTTTATATGCTCCTCTTCTTCTGAAACCCTTATGTATTAAATAAGAAGTTAACTTCTCATACCATGCTCTAGGTGCTTGCTTTAAACCATAAAGAGCCTTTTTATGATGAAATACAAAATCAGGATTATGTAGATCAATGAAACCTTTTGGTTATGCTACATGAACTTTTTCTGCAAAATACCATCTAGAAAAACACTTTTCACATGCATTTGAAATAATTTGAATTTAAAGTGACATGCAAAAGCAAAAAGAAGTCGAATAGACTCATGTCTAGCAACAGGTGTAAAAGTCTCATCAAAATCAATTCCTTCAACTTGAGTATATCCTTATGAAACTAATCTAGCTTTATTTTTCATCACATGACCATGTTCATCAAGTTTATTTTTAAAGATCCATTTGGTCCCTATGATATTAACATCACTAGGTCGAGGCACTAGTTCCCAAATATCATTTTTCACAAATTAAAGCAATTCTTCTTGCATAGCCATAAGCCATGTGATATGAGTGTCCTATGTCATCTACAATGCATGAGTGTCCTACATTATCATGGACTGTACTCCTAGTACCATGCTGATCCCATGGACCTATCACATTGTCAACTGGATGACTTGATCAAACTTTAGAACTGCTAGATGTGGGAATATCTAAGGAGGGTGCAAGAATTCCTATAGATTCATCAGCGGTGGCTTTTAATTCCTCATCATCATCTTTTTCAACCTCTCCACCTTCTCTACCTAAATTCTCAAATTTTTCTTCCTCATGAATTGTAAGTTCTTTCCTTTCTCCTATAATTTCAAAATTAGTTTCTTCTTCATCAAGTTGAAAAGAGGTTATCTTAGATTTTGTATCATCAAATACAACGTTTATAGACTCTATAACCACTTTTGTTCTAAGATTAAAAACCCTATAAGCCCGACTTGTTTGTGAATAACCGAAAACACACCTTCATCACTTCTAAAGTCAAATTTTTCCAAGTGTTCCCTATCTCTAAGGATATAACATTTACTTCCAAAGACTCTAAAGTATTTAACAATGAGCATTCCATCATACCACAATTTATATGAAGTCTTTTTAGTTACAGGCCTAAGATAAACTTTATTTAGGATGTGATAAGCACTACATACTAATTCAACCTAAAAGTGACTTGCAATTTTATTCTCATGAAGCATAGGATGTGCTATACCTGTAATTGTTTTATTTTTCCTTTCCACTACACCATTCTGTTGTGGTGTTTTAGGTGCTGAAAATTCATGCTTAATGTCATTCTTATCACAATATTCAATAAACTCCTTATATTCAAATTCACCTCCATTGTCGTTCCTAATCCGATTAATTCGACATCCCTTCTCATTTTGAATAAGTTGACAAATAGACTTGAAATTCACAAAAGTATCAGATTTTTCTCTCAGATATGTAACAAAAGTAAATCTAGAAAAATCATCAACCATTACAAGCATATATCTTTTTTCTCCAATGCTATCAGGTGTTATGGAACCCATCAAATCCATATGAATCAATTCTAAAGGTTGAGAAGTGACTTTATAAATAAGTCTCTTATGTGACACTTTAATTTGTTTTCCTAATTGACATAGACCACATATTTCATTCTTAAGCATCTTCAATTTAGGCAAACCTTGAACAAGATCATTATTAAACAAATTCACTAAATCATTATAATTCATATGTCCAAGTCTTTTATGCCATAAAACTACCTCATCACTAGCTGTAGAAAAACACATTAGTGAAGGATCTGAAAACACAACGTAACAATTATCAGAAGTTCTAGTTTCTTTCAAGATGCATTTACCTTTTTCATTAGTTACAAAACACCCTTGTTGAATAAAATTGACTTGAAACTCCTCATCACAGATTTGACTAATACTCAACAGATTAGCAACTAAACCTTTAACATATAGAACATTTTTTAACTCCCCAATTTCTGAAAATTTGATCTTACCTTTACCACTTACAACAGAAGCATTACCATCACCAAGAGTAACAGTACCAACTGAGCATTCCTTAAAAGTGATAAATAATATTCTATCACATTTCATATGTCTAGAGCAACCACTATCAAAGTACCAACCACTATCAAAGTACCAACCACATGCTCTAAGTGCAGTGTGCATGGCAAGGCATTTAAAATTCTCTTTCTTTACCCAAACAATTTTAGATTCATTATACAATAATTTCTCTATTGTTCTAGGCAAAGTGTCACAAGACTCAATAATCCTAATTCTCTTCTTCCTCAAATTTGAACTCACTAGATTTTTTAATTTCATTCCCAGTTCAATTTTTCTTTTCTGACACTTATATTTGATATGCCCTTTTTCACAAAAATGACATATTGAAATAAGTTTGGTAGAACTAGAAATAATATAAGGTTTGGTTTCAATTTTCATAAAAATATTTTTAGATTTTTGAAAATACAAATCCTTTGAAGTTGATGCCAAATCTTTATTTCTCCTAATATTTTCAACCACTCCTTTCAACTTATCAACTTTGCAAGTGTCAATATCAACATTCTGAAAAGACTGTTTTGATTTAATAAAATCACTACTCAAATTATCAATTTTAAGTTCCAGTGATTTATTAAACAAATTTACCTTCTTAAACTCCTTTTCCAGAAAATCAATCTTATGAAGAAGATTCAAATTCTTATGGCCAATTTCTTTCAAATTCTTATTAGAGACAGAAACTTCTAACTTATAAATATCTCTATCAAGTTCTGTAAGATTCAATTTCTCTAATAAATTTTCAAAATCCTTTTTAGACTTGGACCACTCAATTTGCATGCTTGTGGCATATTAAAAAATAGGAGGTAAAGGCAACACATCAACAAAAGATGAATTTTCAGACATGATGCAAAAATCAACAATAAATCAACAAATATAATCTACTCTGTATATCAAGTATCCCGCTCTGATATGAAATTGTGAAACTAGAGTTACGCGGGGTGCGGAAATAGTTAGTTGATTTTAATTGTGATTGACTTCTTTAAAGACCTAGATTTGATTATTAGGTCAACTTGCTCAATTTATGGTTAGTTAAATTATATGATCAATTTAAACATTCACAATCAGAAATATAAATACTGTAAAGTAAAGCAAGTAAAAATTTAGAGAGATTGCACCAGAATTTTTAGCGAGGAAATTTCGTTGATAAAATAGTCAACTGTTTGCATGGGAAAAACCTCGTGGACTATTCAGTCCAAAGTAAACCGATTCACTATGTTTGAAACAAAGTATACCGAACTTTGACTCTGACTCACACCCTATCGTTCTACCAAACACCAATTGTTAACAATCCTCTAACTTTGCGACTCCTCGTCCAATAGCAACTTGACCTCAAGCTTATGCTTGATCTTTATAGAAGAGTAGCAGGTAGATCAGACAATACTCCTCGAATGCTCCAACCCTTTCAAAGTGTGATCGCTTTTACTTTTATTCTTCAAGATCTGAACTCGATGTAGAAGAATTAAATCATGTTTTTCCTCCAGAATTTCTGAATCTTCAATATAGCTCCAATTCCGATGAGATATAGAATAACACCACTAAATCACTCATGAATATATGTGTGTGCTCTCATAAATAAATTCAAAATAATCAGATTTGATTTTTTAAATTTTTTCTCTCTAAAAGGCTTTCTCAAAATATAGAATTGATTTTTCCTGAAGTCATGAATAAACCTAGAAGACTAACAAGGTTTATATAGAGTTTAGAAAGTCATAATTCCTCTGAAAATATTGAAAATTTCATACATAGGACTTGGAAAGAAGCCTAGTCCAAAAAGAAATCAAACAGAGCAAGAAAGGTAAGTTACCATAACCTTTCAGGAATCTTGAACCAGTTCAAGAAAGTGGGAACCGGTTTAAGAAGGCTAGAACTTAATTTGTGCATTTTCTTTTACTCTTAAACCGGTTCAGGAATTTGGGAACCGGTTCAAGATGGCCATTTTCTTTTACTCTTAAACTGGTTCAAGAATTTGGGAACCGGTTATCTTGAACCTGTTCAGTACTTTGGGGAACCAGTTTAAGATGGATAAAATGTAAAATCTTCTTTAAAAACTTTCAAAACTCTCCCAATGTGTTTTGACTACCTCTCAATCTTCCTAAAGCATTGTTCTCATCATCTTGGAGTGATATAATGTTGTCTATCATGAACACTTGAACTTCTTCAAATCCGCATCCGAAACTGGATCGGACTTGTTTTGACAATGAAATTAGTCAAATATAAAATATATATCTCACAATTTAAACCTTACTTGATGTAAAACAGAGAGTGATTCTTATACTGTCATTGTTTTAGTTAAAAAGTGTAGAAAATTTATTTCATCAACTTTTACAGATCTCTAGCCATTTGTCACCAAATCAAGAAATATTCTATGACTAAAAAATTATAGAACATTTACATTGGGGACAGAGAGAGATTGAAACTCAAACTCCTTGTATCTTATATTGGCAACAAATATTGAAACTCAAACTCATATGGTATCTTATCAACAATGCTAGATATCTTGCCTCTGTTGAGGCCCCTAAAGCAATCCACCATTGATTTCCTCAATGAACCAGATGTAGGTAACTGGTGGCAAACCCACTGAAGTAATGAGTCCACATCTTGTGCGAAGTCATGCATGTTTTGAAGCAGAAGCTCTGGGAGTGCAATCCTCTTTGTGCTTGTCACCGCAATTGAAGCTAGCAAGTATTCTAGCTTTGATTTCTCCAACTCAACTGAAACTCCATCACCTGTGTATATCTTTACCTGCACCAAACATCCTACTTGTATTAATGAGCATGCCAGAGAGCAGTAGGAGGACTTTCGAAGATTGAGATAGAGAGAGAGAGAGAGCGACAAAGAAGTTTAAATAAATTCTGGAATAAATATTTTATTTATGTTGTGTTTGTTTGCATGAAATTCGTGACTTACGGCTGGAGAAGAATGTGACCCGCAGCAAAGGGCAAATGTGACATTGGGATCTGATGAATCCAGTCCATAAAGTTCGCGAACAATGGCTTCTGTGTCATCCTTTCCACCCTTCCGAAAAATCTAGGTAAGACCGTATCATGTATTTTATAAGATTATGCAATAAACACAATAACAGTAAAATTGATCCTTATCATGAAACACAAGTGTATTCATCTTTACCTCTTTTAAGAGTACAGATGCTGGTTTTCTCAAAATAAAATGCTCAATCGTGTGAGCATTTATTGTATTGCCACCAATGTTGAGGGTTGCCTGAACCCAAAGCATGAATTATTGTAAGTTTTTATATTGTTTTTGCAAGAAAAATTAAAGACAATTTTGCTGAATTCATGTAACAGTATAAACTAGTTATGTACCTTGTTCATCAAAGTAAGCAGTTTTTCCGGGCTAGAAGGCACTCCGTATTGGAGAAATCCCTGAAATGGAAATTCGGTTAACATGAGGGAACAAAACAACAGGGAGACAAGTTATAAACAAAAGGAATCAATGGTTTTGTTCATATATAATATACATGCATTATACAAGCATTGTATATATTGATCCAGAATGCTAGTTTCTGTTGTGTTGTCAATGATCTCAAGTCCACCTTCTGGAGACTGTTCATTAAGACCCTGTAGTAGTCCAAAAACACACAAGGAAATTAAGTTAGAAATCAATTATTAACCATGAGGTTTAATTATAACATTCAAGAATGTGAAAGTGCCATGCATTTTTTTGTTTATTTTAATCATGCCTAAGCTTAGGCATCTCGGTTAGCACCCCAAGCATGAAAGTCTTTTTACACATACCTTAACCTTTGGAATAAAGGAGTAAAACTTGGATTCGAGATGTATTTTGGGTCCAAAGAGCTTGATGTGAATCTCACCAAGTTCTTGTAAGGGCCAATATCCCTTGGAATAGACTCTTCCATTTCAAAGATGTCATAGGGGTCTTGTTGCTTTGATTCTTTCTGTAATTTAAGGCTTGCCTTTGGTTTTGGGACAGTGTCGACCCTGAAGCTTCTTGAGCCTAATGAAATATTTGCAGTTCTGGAAGTGGGACCTGTTTTCTCTAGCTCCACAGCTCTTGAATTCCGAAGTAGTCTGACATAAACGAAGATCAAGAACTTCATGATATTCTCAGATAGCTTGTTGGGTGACCACTTATGAATGCTCTCTTCTTCTGATTGTATTGGGCTAGCTAAAGCTCTCGGTGGGAGCTCTGAGGGGTTCTCTACATTTCGTTCTCTCTGAAATGTAGTCATTGGGAACTTAGAACACAAAATGATCAAATTTTGACATCTGAATAGATTGCTACAAAAATCAATCCAGCGCTCTATCCCTTGATTGAATAAAACTACAAGGTATTTGTAGCTTTAAAATCCACTCCTTGGACTTGAAATTGGAGGAAAACTAGTTTAATTTGAAGTAAATGCCAATTTAGGGCAAATTTATGCTTCCAAATGCTGCATTAGTTTGAAATTTGAAATAATTTATATGGTCCTCAATTCCAATTCCAGGATGTGAATTCCATACCATCAACCACAAACACAAGGATTGTTTTGATGCATTAACATTAATTTTTAGCATTTAATAAACAGAAACAGCAGCATATGTGCTTGGGACAAGATTTTCTTATTCACTTAAAAACAATCCCCAATGGCAGCTCAGACTTGTGATTGTTAGACTGACAACAATAAACATGATCAAACGGTGCATAAAAGTTAATGCTACCTTGGGGGTTAGATTTCTTGGCTCTCGCAGGGGTGAGGGTGGTTTCAGCATCCCACTTCTTCTTGGAGCCTTGTCTTGACACACAACCTCGTCATGGAAATGATTTTCCTTCTGATTAGAGAGTGCTGTCGAGTTTCTTAATTGCTCGTTACTGCTGAAGTAATCACCCTTTATGGCTTTGCTTATGAAATGCAATGCCTTGGTCTCATAAACCACTCTTCCATTAAGTACTCCTTTGTTTGTGGGGCTCGGATTTGGTGGAAGCGACGAGTATCCCTTGGGGTTGTTCAGAGTTTCATGCTGAAATTGTTTCCATTTTGATTCCTTACTGGCTTCTTTTTCACAACTCAAATCATTTTGAAGCTGGCTGATTTGGCTTTCAAGTCGAGCTATTTCATCATCAACCATTGCTAACTCTGCTAGTAGCTCTTTCATCTGTATAGTTCATGAAAGATTGTTGCACATATATGTTATATGTCCTTTGAATGGAGCTAGCATGAGGAAAATTTATTTCACAATTAAGTATAAGAAGAAAAGAGAAGATAAAAATGGCTACCTTGGGAGGAAGGAAGTTTGGGATACACAGGGAGGAAACATCCTGTTGACTATGTACTTGCTCCAAAATTTCATGCACCTTCTGTTCATGATCCAGCATTTTGCTAAGCGTAGAAATCTGCAATAGAAATAAGTATGATTAGTTGATAACTTAATAATAGTTTTACTTTCATGAGAAAAAAAAAAAAAAAAACACACACACACACACAAGAAGCCTGGATTATATTGGAGCTAACGTCTGAGAGTGAAGAATGATACAAAACCGAAGACAAAGCCCACCGCAAGAAGTATCCACCGGAGCAAAAACAATAGCTGCATTTCTGTCTCCTCTCTACAAGTGAAGGGCTCAACAAAAGATGAAACTGGATGAGCAAGGTTATAAGTCTGAATTTGGGAGGAAGAATTGAGGTCACGGAAGAGCTTATATGCAGGAAAGAAGCCTAACAGTTGGGTACAAGGAGCTCAAAAGCAACATTGATTTGTTGTACAAAGTGTGTGAACTAGTACAACTAGACCTGAGCAACTGTCCCTGCTACTCTTTCGAGTCTCATACAGTCATACTGCACTACCCATCCCTCAATGATCATCTCGCTCTTCTCTGCACTCCCCAAATCATCATGCTCCCAATTCCAAAAATTTGGAAACTGCACTTCGTTGAAAATTTTGGTGAAATTGAAGAAGATGACGGGGTAAGCACGTAGGAGGGAGGCTATAAGAACTCGGTTTAGAAATTGAAGCACGAGAATCAGAGTATGAGTGTGAAGGTGAATGAAATGCTGAAGGTGATGAGGCCCTATATAAGTCATAACTCCAGCTATGACGCCTCCCAAAGGGGATTAAACTTGTAGAAATTAATTTGGAGCTGACATTTTTCTGCAGAAATATTGGAGAAAGACTTGCAAGTATGGTCTAAGGGGATGAAAAAGTATGGTTAGCCGTTCCATTTGTGGGAATTAAGAACTGAAAATGATGGGCCTTAGAAAATTGATACTGGTATTTTTCTTTATTTTTATATTTTTTAACAGGAAACAAATACTTTGTACTTAATTCTTTAATGAAAGCATAAAATGGAACTCATGATCGAACCCCAAAAGAAGAAACATTTTTTCAACAGTTCATTCAAGTACAGAGTCAATTTTAGAGTGCAATTTTTCTTTGACATTCAAATAATATTTTGGCAACTTTCTATCCTGGAAAATAAGGACATATTTTTGAAATGAAAAAAAATAAAAGAAAATAAGGTAATATAATTCAAACATTAATTTGACAATGATTATTTCAAAAGTCAGATTGTACTATTAATATTTAACATTCTGCTATATACATATACATACACATATACACATATATAGGAAGCCAGAAGAACATAGACCAGGTTTTCTGTTCTTTGCTAAGCAGTAAGTGACCCATCACCCCCATACCTCTTTTTCAAGCTCTTGTCTCTTTTGTTGCCCACTAAGCTTCTTCTTTCTCTGCAACCACAACAAAGTAACCAAAATGAATGAAAAAAAAAAAAAAAATGGAACGAAAAAGTAAAATTAACCACCATTTTCTTCTTTTTTTTTTTTTTTGGAAGCGGAGCCATTTTCGATTCAGGGGCATAGTGACCAAAAAAAAAAAAAAAAAAAAAGAAAAGAAGAAAAAGGGAAAGCAATATGAATTTTGATGGAAACAAATTAGAGCATGATTGAATAAGAAAAAGAGGAAAAATAGAAAAAAGTTTAAGGTACTAAAAAAGTTTAATATACAAATATATATATATATATATATATGCAAAAAATAAAATAAAAACCATATATATTATATAAGGTTTTTGGGGCATTTGCCCCTAGCAAATGCAATTGACCTTCGAAAATGGGTTCTTTTCATACCGACCTCGTTCCTATTTAAACATCAGTCAATAAGAAGAAAGAGGAATGGGGGCAACGGAGATTCTCAAATCTCATAATAAATCAACTGTGAAGGTAGTAATAATGCCCAGAACTTTGCCCCCAACTAAACTAATCCCCAAATTTCTTAAATTGTGTCAGAAAACAAAAAAAAAAAAAAAAAATGTTAAATGGAAAGCTTACAATCTGTGTGGGCAAGTGAATTACCATATTCAACTGGCCTTGAATGGTGGTCATGAAGGACAAGGAAGTGCACCACAGCAGCTTCAACCTCTCCAAAGGCTTGGAGAGAACGTTTAAACAACAACATGGGATAACAGGCTTAAACTTAAAGCAAGTGTGACAGCTGCTGCTGCTGGTTGTTGTAGTTGGAGTAGTTGTTGTGGTTGAGGTTTGATTTGAATTTTGGAGGAAGGGTTTGGGGCTCGTGTGATAAGGTGAGAGAGAGCTTTCAGGGTTGGTCTTATTCCGGTATTGGACTAACCGTCTGCGTCGTGTGTGGGAGGAGGACATCATGCAAGTTGATAAAGAGAGAAGTGGGGGCTCGTGTTTGCGTAGCTTGCACTTGCAGGTTCTTCACCAACAGGGGGAGTTTTTGGCGGTTACAACTTCTTTGACAATCTTTCCAAACCTTTGTGCTTACATTATTATATTATAAGCTCAAAAAGCAACGAATGATTTGAAAAATGATATATATATATATATATAGATAAGAATATAAAGAAGAAAAAGGGGAAGAAAAATTATTGAATTTTGAAGGATAAGATGATTAATTTAATCATCTTTAAAAGGTAATTAAAGAAATTTAAAGAATCAAAAAGAAAACAAAAATAAAAAACGTTAAAAGAGAATTTTGGAAACTAATAATATTTAGGGTGCATAATATAAAATTTTCTATATATATGAAAAATAAATAAATAAAAATTATAGATATCATCGAAAATGCTATACTTTAAAATTTTTGATTCGTTATTTTATCTTGAATTAGGTGGCTACTTATTTGTTAACTTATTTGGCTATTTTGTGTGTTTTAAGAAGTAATTTTTTTTTTAATATTGGAAAATATTTTAATATAGGAAAGAGAGATAAATAGCAAAACTTGTGATTATAGAATCCAAACACTCATATAAATCTTCAATTCATTTGGAAGATTATTTGGATTAAATCTTCAAATATTTAAAACTAGAAGTTACAATTTTTTACCATGAATGATTGACTTATTTCTCATGAATAAGATCCTTAATTTATATAATTCACTTAATTAAAACTTTTTATAATTGTATTTTGATTTGGTATTTTTTTTATTAACGTTATATTTGAAAGAGATACTAATTGAAATATATACATATTGTAGAAGAGGATATATATATATATATATATATATATATATATATATATATATAAAATAAAAAAAAATAGTAGTAGAGAAAAAAAAATTAAACGTAGTATAATTGTTCATTCTTTCCTTTTCTTGCCACCGACTATTTGTTTAGTTTGCTAAAATAGGAAATACAAATAAAGTGACATCAGATTCAAGATAAGTCTTGAATTTTAATTGGAGATATGTAGCACTGCAATATATAGGGCGGCCAAGGGCCTACCATTTTCAATTACGAAAATGAATTAGACATAATATTAAAATGAATTAGACATTACATTAGTTCATGAATTGTGACAAAAAGCCCTCTCTCTAAATGTAATTATGTATATAGGAAAGAAAGAATAAAAGAAAATTTTTCCTTTTTTTTCTATTGCAATGAAATTCTTTCCATTTTATTTACTTTTTTCGTTCCAATTCTCTTTTCTCAGAAAAGGGGGGCTTTCAAAAAAAATAAATAGAGGAAATCCATTGCACAAAAAAATTGACATAAAACCCTTTAACCATTCAATTTGTTGCAAAGTGATGTTATTATGATAAAAATGTCTCTTAATAAAAATTTAAAAAATAGTATATATTAATATAAAATTAAAATTAATACAAATAACTCATTTGGCATAGTGGTGTTAAAAAATATATATGTTTTAATGGTGTGTCTATAAAAAAAATAAAAATAGCTTGAAATTTACTTTAAATTTATTTTAAAAATCTAATATGAAAATAATTTTAAGACCAACTAAATTTTATTATAACTTCACTTGTGTGCATTTTTTAAAATTTTCTTAAAGTTCTATTTTAAAAAATTAAAAGAAAAAAAATTAACTTTATTTTAAAAGGCATTTGCATCATTATAATATCACTTCGCAATAAGTTAGATAATTAGGGGGGTTTTATGTTAAGTTTTTTCTTATGATTTTTTTGGCAGGGTTTTATGTTAAGTTTTTTCTTATGATTTTTTTTTGCCAAAAATTAAAAATAAAGGAGAGTTTTATGCAATTTGCCCTAAAAACTAAATAAAGATAAAATAATAGATGAGATAATTGCAATAAACCCCTCAACTTTCAATTTTTTTATTTTTTTTTTTTGCAGAAAACTCTCCTTAAAAGTATGTTGCCATAAAACCAACCCTTTAAGATTTTCTATTCGCAACACTACCTCCTCAGTCAAATAATTGTTGGAATTGTAATAGCAAAAACAAAACACGTGACGTGAAGTTGGGTAGTTGACATTCCTGCCCAAAAGGAAGGTTTATAGAAGATGAAATTGCTCCTCTCAACAGTTTAGTTAGTACCTAAATCTCAATTGCTTTGCACCTTGTTTTGATGTACTCCACTAGTTTGGATTGCACGCAAAACTAGCAAACATTATCATCTTATTGCTAGGCATTTCACATCTCTATCTTCACTCTCTCTATACATATATATCTTCTATATATATATATATATATATCAGTACATCATTCTCGTCTAAACTCCCCTCTTTATAAAAAATACATCTCAATTAGTATCTTCTTCAAAATACACCATTTAGGGTGTTCTTGGGTCTTCTTCAAACCTTGGGCCGGACTTGTTTTGTTGTGTAAAAAATATATATATATATATAATAATCTACATCAGATTTTATTTAGTCTTGCATTTGTTACCAATCATTGCCTCCTGTATCATTAGGAGGTAGCATATTCAGATTATATGTAAATGTGAAACACTGCCTATACAATGGGTAAAGCATTTACCTTTTAAAATCTTTGTCCTGTCAACAATAAATGTAAAGCAATATTTCTATGACAATGAAATTTATTTTTTATTATTATTATATTATTATTATTATTATTATTATTTTACCTTATAAGTAAATTTTTATTAAAAAAAAACAGAAACTAAGAGCCAGTAGTTTGTTAAGATAATTTTTTTTTACACTGTCACTGATGTGTAAAATTATTGTGTATCCTCCCTATTTCTCATTTTTATTAACGAAACAACTCTACCCTATATTAATTAGGTTTGTAAAAATGATGTGGGGTCCGGATATGATACTGGTTGATTATTATTGGAGTATATATATATTTTTACACAGGAAGTATAAAACAAATGTTGGACCTAAAAATAAATAATTCAAAATTTTTTTCACATCAAATTTACATAAATACACACACACACTAACATAAAACTGAACAACTTAAGGCATCCTATGGCAAACAAATATCAAACCAGTATCATTACCACTTAAGACATCTACTACCAAACCCATATTATTCAAAGCATCAATCCAAACATGCCCACCACAATGGCTAAAATATATACTCTCTATTTAGACTATTTAATACTAATAGCTGGTGTGATGATAAGGAGGAGAAATATATATATATATATATATATATATATATATATATATTTGTTTTTACAAATGAGAATAAGAGATAGATAAAAAAAATAAAAATAAAAAAGGTTGTTAAAAAAGAAAAAAAGTGATATAAGGAAACAAAAATTTTGGGCACACTATTATATATGGTTCAGGTTTAATAATAAAAGAAAATAAAATTTTAGGTTGGTTATAATACATAAAAAAACAAAATTTTTGGGGTTAAAGAAAAATAAGGTAAAAAAAATTACAATCTTTTAGGCCCAATATCAAATTCTTTTATTAGTCGGGTTTAATAATGGAAGAAAATAATATTTTTTTTAAGAAAGTTATAATATAATAATTTTTTAATGCTAAGTTGTACCAGACAGATTGATACAACTAGGCGGGACCTTTTTCCCTTTCTTCACACAGCTTTACGGACAAAAATCCTCTCCAGCAGTGACTTGTTCCCAACCGGTTCAGATGTGTGGCCCAGATTGGGCCACGTCAATTAAAAAATTTGACAGTTAAAAAAGTTACCCTCAGTTATTGCACATTGTATTTGGAGTGTGTGTATATATATATATATATATATTATTATATTGTGTATATATAGTGTATATTTATATATTATATAGTGTATATTTGGTGGATTTTACTGAAATATCATTCGTATTCAACAATCCCCTAATCCTTCCATTTGTAGGTCATGGAATTGGTGATGAAAATCGTGAAGGGAAGTCGAACCGAAAGAAGGAGAAGGTCTGAAGGGAAGTCGAATTGGAAGAATGAGAAGGTCGCGAATTGTTACAGTTCTGGGACTGAGTTTGTCGGAGTGGAGTTGGAAGAAGGTCGTGAGAAGAAGTTGTTGCAGTTGTCGAACATAGGTTTTCTTTACAAAAGGTTCTGTCCATCCCTTTCCAAACAAACTCAGAGGTTTAATTTGATTTAATCCTATTAAATTCTGTTTCTTTATGGTTTTAGTTTCGTTATGGTTTTAGTTTCGTTATGGTTTTTTCCATTCTATTACTGTAAGGCAATGCAATGTTTTATACAATTTGTAATTGTAATTGGTGTGTCATATCTATTCTTGGGTGGTATGATTTTCCTGTTGCACTTTATTTGCAGTTAATTTTATGTTCGTTTTATTTTCTTTACAAAGGTTCTGTTCATCCCTTTCCAAACAAACTCAAAGGGTTGAATTTGATTTAATCTTATTAAACTCTATTTCTTTATGGTTTTAGTTTCGTTATGGTTTTTTCCATTCTATTATTGTAAGGCAATGCAATATTTATACAATTTGTAACTGTAATTGGTGTGTCATATCTGTTCTTGGGTGGTATGATTGTCCTGTTGCACTTTATTTTTAGTTAATTTTATGTTTGTTTTATCTGTTTGTAGTTAAAATTTAGTTGATAATTGGTCAATAATAGAGTTTGGTTGTGGTGTAAAGACTGGTTTAGAAATGGGTCAGTAGAAGTCGATAACTCGAAAGAAAACTCATTTTCGACGAAAAAAATTATTTATACGGAAAAAAGGGCCGGACAATATCGTTCACCCGCCTCCTCCTATTCTCCAATGTATGTTACAACGCATCCGTAACCCCCCCAAATAAAAAAAAAAAAATTATCTACTCGTACCCCTAAATTAGCTAACCTTGGTGATGAGGATTATAATGCTGAGGCAGACGAAACGGATTATGATCCCCAGCCAAGCAATAGCGCATTAGGCGATGAGGATTATAATGTTGAGGCAGACGAAGAGGATTATGATCCCAGCCAAGCAGTAGAGCATTAGTGAATAGTCTGAGTCGTGGAAGAGGAGTTTACCTTTTATTTAAGTAAGCATACATTCATATTAATGAATATGTTCATGGCATTTGTATGAATGATGGTTCCCTGTTAACTAAATATATTTTTCATTTGTTTGATATTTACGATGATATGGTAAAATTGATTGTTTAAGATTTGGAATTTTTAATAATGGTATAACATAATTTCTGCATGCATTTGAAATGAAGAATTCTTTTATTTTATTTGGTAGTTTCGTAATTATGAAAGTTTAGGAAATTATCTTTTAATTGATAAGTGTATAAGTAAGTTGTGAAACATATGTATTGAATTGAAATCCTAATGTTGACTGTGTGATATGATATCATGTGTATCAGGCCTGGTTTCATGACGAACTATCAACAAGTGCATGGTCTAGTATGCCTAATGAAGGCTGATGTTAAAAAAATATTAGAAACGAAATACAAGGTAGCATGGAATGGTATGAGTGTGGAAGATAAGGCGCCATTTTATGAGCAAAAAAAATTACGCGATTTGGATTACTTCAAAAAGCGTGGAGGCTTAGCAGTGAACAAAAAGAAGAAGAAGAAGGTAATTTATGGATTTTGATTAAATTAGTTATTGAATTTGTTATTGTTTTGATAACATAATATGCAGTAGAAAAGAGTGCAATTGATGCTTCCTTACTTGTAGTCTTATGAAATTGTGTTATATGACAATATATTTATTGGGATGTTGAAGGTTAAATACAAGGTTAAAAGTGGGTGAACAAATACTCGATCGCCAAATTCATTAACACAATATCCAAACTTGGAGAGGAAAAGAGGAAGGATGTTGCAGATATAGGTTTCGGCAATTTGCTAAACCTACAATGTGACCATTTGTCTACCCCACTCTTTGGCTACATCATTGGGCATTTGGAGTTAGAGAAACAGCGCATTAAACTTGATGATAATAAGTATCTCCCAATTAATGCAACTGATGTCCACAACATCCTTGGCTTACCTGCTGGAATGATAGACGTTCCTACATGTCAGGCATTTGAAGCCGATTGGATAAGTGAATGTGGATATCGAAGTGGGTTGCATGTAAATGCGCTCATGGAAAGGGTAGAATAATCTGAGCCCGACGAAGATTTCAAAAAAGCCTTTGTGCTTTTTGCATGTGTCGCTTTTCTAACACCTAATGGATGTTACAGTGCGCATGTAAAAGAATTAAAGGTTGTTCATAATGTGAATGAAATTAAGTCTTACAACTGATGTACATATGTGCTTCAAACTTTAATGGATCACTTAGCTCAATCTGAAGAAGATGGGAAAATAAAGCACGAGTATACTATTTTATTAATTGGTACAGTTTTGCGACCTATTAACATTATTCAACATACATAATGTATCAGGATCCAACTTCCTCAATTATAAATATTTAATTTTGCTACAAATAACAAAATTAATGATTTCTTTAACCTTTTTGGGCCTTCTATTTCATAAAAATTACAACTATATATGTTAACTTATTGATTTAACTTTTTCCAAATCAAACATGGACTTCTAAACTTTTTTGGGATATTTTCAGAAACATTACCACCATGTTAACTTATTTATAATGACTAATCATAATTCTCAATTACCATTACAAATTGTATAAAACATTGCCTTCCAAGAATAGAAAGGAAATTTTATTCTAAGATCCTATATTAGAAGTTTAAAAGTACAACCATGTTAAGTTATTTATAATTATCAATCCTTATAATGGAAATTTTTTTCTATGATCTTAAATTGGAACTTTAAAACTACAACCATGTTATGTTAGTTATAATTACCAATCATAATTATCAATTACAATTACAAATTGTATACAACTTTGGCTTACAGGAATATGTTAGACCAAGAAGGGGGTGAATTGGTCTGTTTAAACTTTTTCTTTAACGCAAAACAAAACCAATCAAACACTAATCAAGCACATAACACAGGATATACAAGGAAACCCTCTCAATAGGGAAAAACTTTAGTTCTTGGCCTCAGCCAATAAATCATCCACTAGTTGGAAGTACCTTGTTACACACTCAGCTATCTCACTCTCTGCACACACCCTTGTACAATAATAGACACTAGTTTTCACAACCAATACTCACACATTAGCTTACCAATGTGCACACAAGCACTCCCCCTATCCAAAGCAACCTTGCTTGGACCCTAAAGCTTTCAATAGCTTTATCAACAATGGGGTGAGGTATCAAAGATTCACTACCATTTACAATGAAGTGTTAATACACCAAGTATAATGCACTTAAGCTGCAACACAATGTAGGAATGCAATACACAGCCTTAAGTGAGAACAAAGTGAAACCCTAGCTTTTATCCAACTCGAATCAATGAGTTAGTCCTCCAACAGCACAATACAACTTCACCTGAAGTATACACTAGGTTCCCTCTGCCTTGGCTAAGCCAAATAAGTTTGCTTAAATCAATCTAGGACCACAAACAGCAAGTACACAACAGCTTGCTGCTTATAAGGCTTCAAACCCTCTTCAAGGGTAAATTTATCACTTTAGTGATTAGTTTCAATACTGACCCTTCTTCTGTTTCCACACCCTTTATATCTTCAAACAAACATGCTCAATAGTTTGAAACATTGAATAGAGCAAGATAAGACAATCTTAGATCACAAAAGGCTTGGAACACATTAAACCTTAGTCTTTAAGCCAACAGGGGTAATTTTGTCAAACCACCTGATACTTAAGCTAATTCAGGTTCCCACAGCTTCACATAACCATAATATACTTGCACAATTATTGTTCTTACTTAGCATTGCAAGATTAGAATTATAAAGCACAAAATCAGTAATGAAGAGCTTACTGCAGGTTCAGTTCTGATGCTACTGTGTTGCTTATGCTCTGAGGGTATAAATGGTATTCTGCATGGTCTCAGGCCTGAACAAGGTTCTCATATACTTGTTTCGTCTGTGTACGGAGATCTAGATGTCAAGCACATCAAAATGTATATCAAATTCAGCCCCAAAATCTGTTCACAATCAATTTTTGCTGAAACCTGCTAGTTAGGGTTAATTCTGTAAATTCGAGTTTGCACAGACCTTAATTCACTTCCTTCAGTCTTGAATCACATATATATACTTGCTCTGAGGATATTCACAACATACACAGCAAGTTGTTTCACAGATTCCTCACAATTCAAGCTATATCAGTTATTAAGCCTAAAACCCTAACAAGTGAGGTTTATAAGGCCAAACACAAGGTTGGTCATATTTCTGGTAATTTCTGAATTTTAAGAGCCTTTAATCAACTATAGAAACTTGCTAGAAAGATTATCAAGTGGATCACAGCAAGATACAAGCACTATATACTCAAATTAAAAGGTTAAACCAGAAAAAAAAAAAAAAAAAAACATGTTAAATAAAGGTTTGAAATGTGAAATCTTACTTCAGCTCAACTTTGTACAAGTGAGCACATTCTGTAGTTGTAAAAACCTCAAAGGCACTTGCTTGAGCCTTGCTCAAACCCCAGAAACCTCTACAGCAATTTTTGAACCTTCACAACCCTCTTCTTGCACCAGAAAAATAGCAACACAAGTTCTTTAATACTTTAGTGATTCAGTGTACTTCTCTTGAAGAATTCAGAGATTAAATTCAGCTTAGAACCTCACATATTCTCTCTGAAATTCTCTCAACATCTTAGCTCTCGAGACCTTCTTTAAAGCTTAAAGGCACATTTTAGGCTCTCTAAGGTACACACTCTGTTGTTGCTCTATAACAATATATTGATACACTGAATTTACTGCCCTAGTGTGGATAAGAATATTCCCCTTTAAGCCAATCATAGATAGAGATATAAAAAAAATTATATACCATGAATAGACCAAACAATCCCTGTACAGCCCTAGCTTGTGGCACAACAACCACTTTTTCTGCAACCCTCAAAGGTCAATGTACAATGCTAAAGTATACAGCTAAGAATTGTATTTCTGTACATATATTTCTCTCACCAGGACAACTGTGCACGTGGCACATTGCTGTGAGTCCTTTAACAGCCTTGAGATATCAATGAAGTACCAGAATTGCCCTTGGAATGATACACTTTGTGTATACAAGCAAAATGATGATATTCAGTAAATTTTTCTAAAACAAAGATACAATGCACCTTTGGAAAATGTTTCAATCATACACTGCAGATTAGATTGATCAAAATACCCCTGAGAATGTAGCTGAGATAACATAATTGCCCTTCACAATTGACACTTGTCAAATAAATCTGATGCTGCTTGCTGGAGCCCTTGAATTTGTAATTCAACCCTTAGGATAATATATGTAGTGCAATATAGTATCAAAGACAAGTGCAACAAGATTACTCCCATGTATAAAAAGACTAATATTCCCCTGTGAGATATGTGAGAAATTGATGTCATACTCCATAGTCCTTACCCTATAAGACTTGTTTTCAAGAACAAACCTCAAGATAGGTGATACCATTTAGCTAAGACTAATATTTATCATTCAAAGAGCAAACCACATCAACAATCTCCCTTTTTTGCCTTTTAATGACAAAAAGCTTGTCTTCTCCCCCTTTTTGACATTGAAAATCAAATGGGCCAAATGAGCATTCAGTGCAGCTAGGAGGACCAATTTCATTTGAGGGATCAATATAAAGAGATAAGGGACCAACAATTATATGGGGCAAAGGAACAATTTTAGTAACAGATGATGGTTTTGTTAGATAGGTGAGAATGCTGCTATTTTTCAAGAATTTTTCAAAACAGGCCCTTCAAGGGCATACATAGCATTTGAATAATGACATGTAGATGCTCAAATGGTGAACCTGAGGTACTGAGCAACATACTAAGAGATAAAAATCAATTCTAACGTGTTTGAGCCTTCAATAGTGCTTAGGGTGCAAAATGGCTTCAGGGTCTTTACAACAATTTTCCTTGAGTTAAGAGCTGAAAAGGACTCCTTTGAAGATAAATTAGCAAGCCACTCAACAATTTCACATAGAGAGGCATGAATGAAAATATTTTCAGTCCACATCAGTCTTGTAGTCTTCAAAACCCTAGCTTTCAAGCTTTCAAGGGTAAAATTATGATTCAGCTTCAGAGGCAACCCAAACAATACTCCCCCAGTCTTCAATAGCCCAAATACACTTGCTCATGTATCTAACACGTTAAATACAACAGGGTATAACAATGTATATAATCTCAGTAGCTATTTTAGGGTTAAAACCTTAAAACTCAGTTTTGCCAAACACAACCTTGATGTAGCTCAAATTCTCAACAACCAGAGGCTCCCTCAGCTTGAATATGATGAATTAAACTTGTTCTACAGTAGGGACAAGATGTACACACAGAGGCACAACAATATAGCACAAACAACAGCAAAATACAGGCCTACAACAGGTGTATTTGCTACAACTGATACATTCAAGTTTAAAGGTTGATCTTGTAAATTAGTGACTTAGCCCTTTTTTATCATAGTTCTCACAGCTCAGAATCAACATACTACACTTGATCAAATCATCATTTCTCATTTTAAAGCAAGTCAAAATCAATTTTTTAATTCAAAGATGGCTTCATAAGTCTATTTCTGCAGCAACAATATTATGAGGGTAATTCTGGGATTTCAACACTACCAACCTCTGGACTTTGGTTCTCTCAAATGTAAATCAACTGTATACACTTGCTCAGCAAAGTAATGCACCAGGTACAACAATTTATTGAACTAACTCCACCTAAACCAACCTTGTAAACAAGTGTAAACTTGAGCTAATGTAGTTCATAACACCAGTATCTGAACAAGTCATTTCTCAGGCTAAATTTGAACTTAGACAGCCTCAAATCAATAAACTAAATATGCTCAGACCATGAAGACTTATTTCACAGAAGTATAACCACATTCACAGTTCATTTAATAGATTTTATTACAGCAAAACAACTGAACACAGCAGGTTTGATAAACAGAAACTTACTTCAGCAGTGATGTGAATTTGAAAACCCTCTAAGCAGTTATAAAATGGTAATGCACATTTGCTCAAACTTGTTTCAGCTTTAGGATCAATCACAGCAGGTTTAGCTCCCCTCAACTTCAATTTCTAGTCAACAAATCAGCTCAAATAGCCCTTGTATGAAGTTCATCATTAAGAACCTCTTCTAGGTTACTTTCTATGGTGAATGATGACTTGTACTTGAAATAACCATGTAGGAATTCCAGAACATATTTTTAGGTGCTATTAACCCTTGAAAAATAGATATTAGAGACATCATTTAGCATAAAGAAACATATAATGATTATGAAGCAACTTGTCTCTAAGAGGACGTGGCCTTGAGGAGATTTGAAGTTGACAAACAATAATATTAGAGCAATGATCATGAAAATCCCTGTCTCTAAGAGGAGGTGGTTTTGAGGATGTTGCGTCCATAAAGTTTTTTTCTTTGGATTTTTTAGAGAGGTACTTATCAGAATGTTTCTTCTTCCTCATTGAGAATTGAGTAAGCCTTAAACGACATGTAACTAATCCTGGGGTTTAAACGACATGTATTGATGGACTTGAGGACAATGGGAAGCATTAAGAACTTACTACGATCTTCACCCTTTGTAGCTCTTGACTGATCCTGAAGAGTCTTTTTGGCAAAAACACTTTTGTGTATAACACCAGAATTCAATTTTTGTTTGAGAAAAATCTCCTAACTGACCCTTAGACTTGTTGATCTTCTAAGTGAGATAGGAGAGGATGAGTTTTTTGGATACACCATTTTGGAATTCAAACATCTTTTCAGTGAGTCTCTTTGTCTTTTCTTCTGGTGAATGAAAGCTTTAAATTTCTTTGTATTGTAGCTAGACTGAACCACAGGATCTTATGTAAATTCATTTTCATCTGTTAAAGACATTGAACAGCTTTCATTTTCCTTTCTCCTCTTCTTCAAGATACCCCTTGAACTGAGCTTTAATAAGCTAAAAACAATAAGTGAGAATGAAGTCAAAACTAACAGTTCAGATTTGAGCACTTCAATACAAACATCTTCTTCAACCTTATCCCATTGAACCAAAGCATTGGTACACTGAGCATCCATAGTATTAATTGTTATATTGGTTGTTTCTGGTTCTTCAAGATCATCATTGGATTCATAAACAGCCCTAAGAGAATCCCACATAACCTTGGATGAATTTCAATCCTTGACTGTAATGAAATCCAGTTGGTTGAGCCCACTAAAGAGAAAGTCTTCTATACTTTGAGCTTTTGAACCATTGATTGCTGCATCCTACACATCATATGATAAGAACATCAAGTAAGCCTCCATTCAAATCTTCCAATATCTATAATTTGAACTATCTAAGACAGGTGCAATATTTGGATCTTGGCTTTCTTCCATTGATAGGACCTTTGTTGCAGGTATGTTAAACCTCAAGATAGCAGACCAAAGGCTCTGATACCAATTGTTAGACCAAGAGGGGGGGTGAATTGTTCTGTCTAAACTTTTTATTCAACACAAAACAAAACCAATCAAACACTAATCAAGCACATAACACACGATATACAAGGAAACCCTCTTAATGGGGAAAAACCTTGGTTCTTGGCCTCAGCCAATAAATCATCCACTAGCTGCAAGTACCTTGTTACACACTCAGTTATCTCATTCTCTGTACACACCTTTGTACAAGAATAGACAATACTTTTCACAAACAATACTTACACACTAGCTCACCAATGGGCATACAAACACTCCCCATGTCGTTTGGACCTTAAAGCTCTCAATAGCTTTATCAACAATGGGGTGAGGTATCAAAGACTCACTAGCATTTACAATGAAGTGTTAATACACCAAGTACAATGCATTTAAGCTACAACACAATGTAGGAATGCAATACGTATCCTTAAGTGACAACAAAGTGAAACACTAGCTTTTATCCAACTGCAAAAAATGAATTAGTCCTCCCACAGCACAATGCAGCTTCACCTGAAGTATACACTAGGTTTCCTATGCCTTGGCTTAACCAACTAAGCTTGTTCAAATCAATCTAGGACCACAAATAGCAAGTACATAACAGCTTGCTGCTTATAAGGCTTCAAACCCTCTTCAAGGGTAAATCTGTCACTTCAGTTATTAGCTTCAATTTTGACCCTTCAATAATTGTTTTTACTTAGCACTTCAAGATTAGAATTATAAAGCACAAAATCAGTAATGAACAGCTCACTGCAAGTTCAGTTCTGATGCTACTGTGTTGTTTCTACTTTAAGGGTATAAATGGTATTTTGCATGCTCTCAAGCTTGAACAAGGCTCTCATATACTTGTTTCATCTGGCTACGGAGATCTAGATGTCAAGCACATCAAAATGTATATTAAATTCAGCCCCAAAATCTGTTCACAATCAATTTCTGCTGAAACCTGCTAGTTAGGGTTAATTCTAGAAATTCGAGTTTGCACAGGCCTTGAGTCACTTCCTTTAGTCTTGAATCACATATATATACTTGCCATGATGATATTCACAACAAACACAAGAAGTTGTTTCACAGATTCCTCAGAATTCAAGCTATATCAGTTATTAAGCCTAAAACCCTAACAAGTGAGGTTTATAAGGCAAAACACAAGGTTGGACATATTTCTGGTAATTTCTGAACTTTAAGAGCCTTTAATCAACTATAGAAACTTGCTAGAATGATTATCAAGTGGCTCACAGCAAGATACAAGCACTATATACTCATATTAAAAGGTTAAAGCGGAAAAATATGTTAAATGAAGGTTTGAGATGTGAAATCTTACTTCAGCTCAACTTTGTACAAGTGAGCAACTTCTACAGTTGTAAAAACCTCAAACGCACTTGCTTGAGCCTTGTTTAAACCCCAGAAACCTTTACAGCAATTTTTGAACCTCCACAGCCCTCTTCTTGCACCAGAAAAACAACACAAGTTCTTTAATACTTCAATGATTCAATGTACTTATCTTGAAGAATTCAGAGATTAAATTCAGCTCAGAACCTCACATATTCTCTCTGAAATTCTCTCAACGTCTTAGCTCTCAAGACCTTCTTTATTTTTCAGCTTAAAGGCACATTTTAGGCTCTCTCAGGTGCACACTTTGCTGCTGCTCTATAACAGTATATTTATACACTGAATTTGCTGCCCTAGTGTGGATAAGAATATTCCCCTTTAAGCCAATCATAGATAGGGATATATATACAAATTATATACAATGAATGGACCAAACAATCCCTGTACGGCCCTAGCTTGTGACACAACAACCACTTTTTCTGCAGCCCTCAAAGGTCAATGTACAATGCTGAAGTATACAACTTTGAATTGTATTTCTGTGCATATCTTTCTCTCACTAGGACCACTGTGCATGTGGCATATTGCTGTGAGTCCTTTAACAGCCTTGAGATATCAATGAAGTACCAGAATTACCCTTGGAATGATACACTTTGTGTATACAAGCAAAATGATGATATTCAGTGAATTTTTCTGAAGCAAAGATACAATGCACCTTTGGAAAATGTTTCCAATCTTACGCTGCAGATTAGATTGATCAAAATACCCCCGAGGATGTAGCTGAGATTACATAATTGCCCTACACAGTTGACATTTGTCAAATAAATTTGATGCTGCTTACTGCAGCCCTTGAATTTGTAATTCAACGCTTAGGGTAATATTTGTAGTGCATTGTAGTATCAAAGACAAGTGTAACAAGATTACTCCCATGTATAAAAAAACTAACATGCCCCTATGAGATATGTGAGAAATAAATATCATATTCCAAAGTCCTTAGCCTTTAAGACTTGTGTTCAAGAATAGACCTCCAGATAGGTGATACCATTTAGCTAAGACTAGTATTTTTTATTCAAAGAGCAAACCACATCAACAAAATAGAATGGAAAATTTATTCTAAAATCTTAAATTAAAAGTTTAAAACTTGTATTCCTTATAATAGAGAATATCCCAACTATTTTGTACCATTTATCACTAATAAAACATTGCCTTACAAGAATACAATGGAAACTTACATGAATATAATGGAATGTTCTAACATCTTAAATTGGAAGTGTCAAACCTCCATTTCTTATAATAAAGAATATCCCAACTATTTTGAATTATTTATCACAAATAAAACACTGCCTTATAGGAATACAATGAAAATTTTATTTTAACATTTTAAATTGGAAGTGTAAAAGCTCAATTTCTTCTAATAGAGAATATCCCAACTATTTTGTACTATTTATCACAAATAAAACACGGGAATAGAATAGAATAGAATTAAGAATTTATTCTACATCTTAAATTGAAAGTGTAAAACCTAACATAAATATTTCAACATATTTTGTACTATTTTTCACGAATAAAATTTTTATAAATTCTCATTCTTTTTTCCATAATTTAATAACACTTACAGAATAGCCAAACAAAACGAATCAAACACAATTTAATACGATTCACAATTTCACTTACAAGCACTGAAATAATGCAAAATAAAAACCCCTAATGTCTTACAATTTTATCGCCGGCAACAGTGTAGGTTCTTCTTCTCCGGCATTCAATCCAAACACGTTCCACTACACTGTTGCTTCGTCTTCCAATTGTTCGTCTTCTCCGGCTTTTAATCAATCCCACTGCACTGTAGCTTCGTCTTCTCCTCCGGCGTTCAATGAAAGCTTTGGAAATAACCTGTAAATTTGGATTTGTCATTTTTTTTTTTTTTTAATCCTCTTATTTTCGACATTTTTCTAGTGGATTTGGATTCAGCTTAGTTTACTTACACGAACTGCGTTTTAAATAACTTAAACTTTTTTTTTTTTGTGTGTGTGTGTGTGTCAGTGTGTGTGTGTCAGATAGTCTTTTGATCAGAAAATTGGTTTGTTCTCCTAAACTGATTTGTTCCACTTTTTCCTTCATTTTCTCAACGGGTTTTTGATATTTGAGGCATTGTGTATGGGAGCTTAGAAAATGGAAGTACAATAAAACCTTGAGGAACAAGCTGCCCTACTAAACATGTTAAAGAATAGAAGGAAAATAAGATTAGTCACACCTCTCATTTTTCATTGAAACGGCTATGGACACAGGACATTGTTGGAGGAAAACAGAAAGAAACACGAACCATACTCCAATTTCAGGATATGCTTCATTTATTATGCCTCTTATTGTTGTTTTTATTGTAATTAGAGTTTGGTTTCATGTTGACAAAATATTACGATGAATTGAAACATTTATACTTTTTTAAGAAGAAAAAAAATGACAAGCAGGCCAGTGTCCTAGCGGTACCAAGTCCCTACCTTTCAAAGAAATGTCATGCCCATATGTTTAGTTAACCATGGTAAGCATCAAACATTTGAAAAAATGTACAAAATTGTACCCAATATAATCCGAAAAAATTAATGAGAATACATTTGCATATCATTGTAGAATTGGTAAATACCATTCAGACATTTGCAAAAATGTACAAAATTGTACCCAATATCATTGCAGAATTGGTTAACACCGTTAAGACATTTGCAAAATTGTAGCAAGCAAAAGATATCAATTAATTTCGTATACCTTCAACATTTTGATCACTGGTGTACTTTTTAACTAGCACTAAAATGATTGAATTTTGAAGGATAAGAGAAATTTAATCATCTTTACAAGGTAATTAAAGAAATTTAAAGAATAAAAGAAGAAAAACAAAATTAAGAGAATTTTGAAAACTAATAATATTTAGGGGACATAATATAAAATTTTCTCTATAAATACATATGTAAAAAATTAAATAAAAATTATAGATATTATGGAAAATGCTAATACTTCACAAATTTTGATTCGTGATTTTATCTTAAATTAGGTGTGTGTTTTAAAAAGTAATTTTTTTTTTTTAATATTGGAAAATATTTTAATATAGAAAAGAGATAAATAACAAAACAATTTTTTACCATGAATGACTTGTTTTTCGTGAATAAGTACTCTAATTTACATAATTCACTTAAAACTTTTTATAATTATATTTTGATTTGGTTTTTTTTTTTTTAAGGTTAAATTTGAAAGAGATACCTAACAGTAATTAAAATATATAGACAGTGTAGAAGAGGATATATATATATATACACACTTGTATATATAATAAAAAATATATTAATAGAAAAAAACAAATTAAACCTAGTATAATTGTTCGTCCTTTCCTTATATATATATATATATACTTGTATATATAATAAAAAAATATTACTACAGAAAAACAAATTAAAACTAGTATAATTGTTTGTTCTTTCCTGTTTTTCCCTTTTCCTTACATTGACAATTTGTTTAATTTGCTAAAATAAAAAATACAAATGCATAACAGAATAAAGTGTAATATATATTAAAATAGAGAATATTAATATATTTTTTTTAGTCAACGGCACATCAAATTCATGATAAGTCTCGAATATAATTTAAGAACTATGGTCACATCTTCCGGGACCTACAATACAAGAGTTGCCAACATTTGAAGAATCTTCAATCATTAGAGAAATCCGAATTTGAATTTCCATTTGAAGAATCTTCCATCATTTAGAGAAATCCAAATTTGAATTTCCAATTTTTTTTTTTTTGGTACAAAATGGATTTATTTCCTCTGGAAGACTACCAAACATAAGAAGGCAGCAGCACGACAAACTATACCATATAAGATGAGGACTACTAAACAAAATTGCCAATTAATGAGATCATAGTTACTTTTCATAAGTGCACCACATCTTGTTATCAGCCACACGCCCGAATACCTGGGGCCAAAAAAACAAAAAAAGTTACAATGATGCTAAGGAGCGATAAATTATGGTTACAAACACTCCACCAAAGCACATATATCGGTTTTTTTTAATTCTATTGTAAGTCCACTTTGCTTTGGTTGAGCGTTTGTAGCCATCCGTTACACCATGTCATCATTACAACCGTTATAATGAATAATTTGCTCAGAAAAGCAAATAAATTTCTAAGGAAAAAAATGACAAAAAAAGAAAAAAAAAAAACACTGATAACAGTGATACTCAAGAAAGCGAGAAATTATTCATTACAATCATTGCAACGATGACGTAGTCCAAACGGATAGTTACAAACACTCCACCAAAGCACATATATCAGTTTTTTGGGTTCTATTTTTGGTCCACTTTGCTTTGGTGACAAACACTCCACCAAAGAATTGTGAGGTTTTCTTGAAAATCTGAATGATTCATCATTTCCAATTAAATTTTTAAAAAGGAATTTGTCCTATATAAAACAAGCCTGTCACACGAATTGGTGTACATAGGGTCTACCAACGCTCGAGAAGATTTAAGAGAGAAAATTAAAGCATATTTCTATACATGGTTGTTAGGTTAATATGACTTAAGTTGGTGAAATTCACATCTAAAGTTTGAGTCTGTAATTTTATTTTATTTTTAGATAGATTTTTTCATGTCTATTAGAGTGAGTTGGTTACCTCTTGTCGAAGGGAAAATTCATAAAGCAAATTAACATTAAAGGGAAAAATGTAAATTCAACATTCATATATGTAGGGAACCTTTTTGAGGTCCATGCATTTATGATGTAGGGCAGTAGCGATAAGCTGCTGTCCGGCAGCTGAACAGTGTAAAACAACGAAAGAAAAGGATTTCCAGCAATAAACAAGCAGAAAAACAAAGAGATAAAACAATATAATCGAAGTTGGAACGTAGATAGGAGAGTTCTAGGGGCAAAGAGACCCGAGAGACACTCTAAACCTGATTTTTTGGAATCAAAACTGCATACAAAGTCTCTTAATAGACTATTTATACTAAGGTTATAGGCTACAGCAGCCCTAGCATCCTAGCCTAAGTCATATAAAGTGGGAGCAGGAGCAAGAACGAATTCGAGAGCGAGAGCGTGAGAGCAGCAAAATTATGTCATAAATAGTGAGAATTTGAGCGAAAACGCGTGGAACGTGAAAGCGGAAGCGCGCTCGGAGCATAAGAGCGACCCGTGTTGAGAAGGATTGTGTGACTTAGATCCTAGCCCTTGATTACTTCAATAATTAATAATACTTCAATAATTAATAAATCTTAACTCTCCAAAGTACTTAAAAACTTACATGACAGTCACATGACTATTTAAAAAGACTAGGACTATAACTATCATCTACCAAATAACATAAACATAAAAATCAAATAACACACATAGAAAATAAGCAAATAACTAAAACCCCAAGATAAATAGAACCCAAGCCTAGATGGCTAGGGGCCGATTAGTCTTGGAGAGCCTCGTAGATGCTCTTGCATCAATTCATTAATTAGGATTGATATATTTCATGTTTGATGCATAAAACTCATTTTTGATATGCATAAAATTGTTTTAAGAAACTTCTTAAAATAAAAATCCTAGTCATATAAGGTAGGGAACTTTGATTAATCAAGGGATCAATCGAAGGCCACATGCCTGGTGTTGAATGATCGACACTTGGCTAGATCGGTCAAGCTATGCAAGTCTAAGTTTCATTCTTAAACAAAATCTCTTAAAACCCTAATATTTTTATTACTCTAAACTTTATATGAAGACATCTTGTTTTTCAAAATGAAATGCAAGCATTATATTACTTTCTCCGAGCATACACATGGGCAATAGAGCGAGTTAAACGTGCATTATAGCAGATCTTTACTAGAACTTTGGCTTATTTCATATTCATAATAACATATAGTTGGGCGAGAATTCATCCGAGGTGATGAACATTTATTGTTACTGAGCCTACAAGATCCAACACCACATAAGGAATTTTCACACACCAAAACACCCTACTTGGATTTGTCGACGGAGTAGAGACTGGGAGACTCGAGGGGAAAATTTGGTGTCAGTGTCAAGAGGTAACTAGGGCCTTTCCAAGATTCAGAAAAATATGATCTACTTGGACAAGGTCTCGTGGTTTTGTTTCTTATATAAGCAAATCATTAAAGATCATATTACTGGCCCAAGATGGAGGATGACATAGAGTTATATGTCAAGACTTGCTTGGTCTGTCAGAAAGACAAGCATGAGAGGAAGAAGGAGGCAGGGCTGCGACACTGTCATCAGTAGGGTAAAACTTACCTGTCTCACGACGGTCTAAACCCAGCTCACGTTCCCTTAAGAAGTGCTTTGCTCGAGACGGATTTCGATTTGAAGGTCCCCCGTGTTAATTTTGCCCATTACGGCCCAAGACCCCACAAGAGAAAAATGGATTAAAAAACCAGGTCGCAATGCAGCCCAGGTTGAAACAAAAATCAGGCAACAACATCGCAGTTAAATACATTGTATTTCTCTTCTCTTGTTAAATTTGATCACGGTCATGTGTTTTATTAAATGGTTTGTAGGATTATGGAAAACATGCATATATTATTTATTTGATATGTTTAATGCTTTAATTGCATAAATCTTATTTGTTTTGGTAAATATAAGTTTTTCACAATGATATAATGCACGAGTATAATGTTCTGTGTTTTTTACAGATTATATCCAGTGCAAAACATCATCAAGCTATTTAAAGATTATCTAAGTTTAATTTTTATTTTTAAAAAAAAAAATTGATGTATGGTTTACTATGTATTGACTCTTGTCACGAAATTGTTAGAGAGTGGGGTTGTTAAATCAGTAAGTCTATCTTGGAAATTTTTGTAGAAAACTTGGGGTTTGTATTTTGTTTAGAATTTGATTGAGTTCTTCAAAAGTTAGTAATGTAGTGTTACCTCTGACACAGGTACACAAGCTGATTTTGAAGCTACGTACATAGACAAAATTGCAATTGCAACTCTAAATTGTGCACTCAGGCAAAATTGCAATTACAACTCTAAATTGTGCACTCACTATAATTAGGGTCCATGTTCATGTGCATTCATGATATTAAGATTTATTGGATTATGGAGTTAAAAGTAGTGTATCTGTTCGTTTTAAAAGGTTTTTTTAATGTAAACTTCACGATTTTGATGGCCGATACCATTACACCTTCTGACCACGAACTTATTGGCGGCCACAACATCTATAAATACTGTGTGTACACTTCCCCTCTTTTGGTGTTTTCTATAAATTTTCACTTCTGATAAGAAAAAAGAAAAAAAGTTTCATTGCCATTGTTCGTGAAAAACTAGCAACATATTTTTGCTTTCATATTGGCATGGGACTTCTTCTATGACAATTAAAATAACAACTATGTATACGAAAGAGTACAAATGAAGAAAGGAATTCATGTCTAACCTTTCAGCATTTGCTATCACAAATGCTTCAATAGCCCACTTAGGATAGCACACTTTTTCTATTTCCTTCATCGTTTCTCCTTTAGTTTTCTGGTGTGCAACCAGAGTAAGAACAACTGGAATAAGCACTGACCACTGCAGGACATAAAAATAGCATGTAACTGGGAGGACAGTATTTCAGTCTAGTAAAGCAGTATATTAAATGTATAAAATGTAAAAAGCATGTACCAGTTGGGCTGCACCAGGTTCGAGGTAGATGGCAAATAAATAAGCTATACCAGTCACACAGTAAACCAGACAAACCAAAACAATGTAATTATCTAAGAAGGAAGATCTTGGGTTGTTGAAGTAATAGAACATTGAAAGGTAAACCACAGGCTTTATAAGTGCATTGAAATTGTCTACTGTATCCTTTGCGAGAAAGTAAGCCAAGCTGCTCATGCCAGAAGCACTCTCTCTCCAGTAGTGTAACTTATCCAGAGAAAACGATCTCAAAGCAGCAATCTTGACAAGGAGAGCTGAAACTCAGCAATAAGTATATGGACAAATGAGAAAGTACACCAAAATATTAAGATGTTTTTCAGCAAAACTTGTAACAGCTCTAATAAATTCTCTAAATAAACTGTTAGCCGAGATATGATAGGCTAGAATCATAAATGTAACTTACCATATTATCCGAGATATGATAGGCTAGAATCATGGCATTTGATTTTATTTACGCAAATCTCTAGGCATAGAATTTATGCAGTGATTTTATTCAGTTTCCTTTCTTGTAATATTAACGTGTGCTCTTTTTACTATATAAAATACCAAAGCTGTGAATGAGTGTTCAAGCCTCATTCAAACCTTTACATATTATTATTCTCATTCAACCTTTTACACTTCTATTCACTCTATCTTGTATTTCTTCTTAAACAATTAATTATAATAGAGTCTGCAGATATATATATATATATATTCCTCAGGTATATTATCCGTTACAAGAAAGAGAGCTTTTATGGAATTAGACATGTGATGTAGGGGGCAAAACTCAATCATAACTTATCCCTACTATCGTAAGTCCACAGCTTCAAGAACAAATAGCGTTAACAACCATCTACTCCAAAAGCTTAAGCTGTTAGAGAGCTGAGAGGGTATAACTTAATCATTTAAATCTTTCAACAAATAGAAAAGGAAAAAAATAAAATAAAAAAATAAGAAGAAGAAGAAGAAGAATAACAAGATTCACAAGGAGCGTGACATAGCAAATTGACTTTTTTAACTTACAAACTGCAATGACGGTGTAAGTATATCCAAGTGCACCGAAGGTTTCATCGCTCACTCTAGCAAGTATTCCTAAACAGATGCCAGCTAGCAATAAAAGCAGAAAATCTACTGCTTGAATCCTAGCATCTCGTAGCCTCTGCTTACCAACTCTGAAACAAAACCAGTTATAACATCTAGGTCAGGTGCCAACCACCGAAGAAAATGCAATCATAATGAGAATGAACAGCCAAAGGATAAATCATTTTATTTCCTTCAGTGGATTAGTTCTTGTTTCCACTATTAAAAAAAAACATATTCTCACTTATCCATGTCATTTGGATCCTCATTAGTCTTATCAATTTCCCGCTTCCAACTCATCATTTTTATTTTTTGTAGAGACTTGTTTATTTGAAACTGGAATTGATTTGGTACAAGCTCATAGCCTTCAATTAGTATATGAAAAAGACCTTCGGTTTACGTCATAAAAGGATGTGCTTGCAAGGAAAAGAATCTATAGAGCAGTTAGCACAAGAGAAATATATAGAAAATTGAGATATCAAGAAATACAATTAGATTCAAAGAGATTATTTAAAATCAGCTCAAATGAATTAAACCAAAAAAGAAAAAAAAGGAATTCCTAAGTTACCTCCCGAGGAAATATCTGTACTGCAGGAAAACACTAGGGGTTACCCGGTTCGATAAGTCCTTTGACATCAAGATATTATGCTCTATATGGTCTCTTTTCAATTCAAAAACAGACTTGGCATCCCGCCAAAGGTCTGCAACAAAAGATTGTCCATCTGATCCAGCAGCAATAGGATCTGTTGAATAAGCTAAATTTTCCCCAGGTGAGGATGCTGCTGACAATCCAGAAGAATTTAGCATATCTGGGGGTACTGGGTACCCATTATGAAGCATCCATCTAAGTGGAAGATCATTGTATTTCACATCTGAGCTTGGGCTCGGTTTAACAATTCCCTCAAGAATGTCAATGAAGTGATCTGGAGGATTAACACGTTCGGGCACATTGATGCCAATGCCTGCGAAGTATTCTTCAACTTTCTTCACTGATCCATGATAAACTGTAAGACCACCTTTAGCTAGAAGTATCAAATCATCAAACATCTTGTACAAGGTATAGCTGAAGCAGAAAATTATCTTTAGTTAGATAAGAAAGGTCTCACAAACAAGCAATTTAAAATGCCCTAGAATTGAAGTCATTGGAACAATTGGAAACATATGAACCTTATGAAATCACTAGCAAATAGATGCTGGGTACCTCCCCAAGAATCTCTGTTTTATCTTACTGTTTTCACAATACTCTGATGACCTAATGTTTCCTAGCCTCGAGCAATTTGGAGCAAAGCTAATGTAGATCCCGAGGAGTATACCATAAAATAGCCTATCCTAGTGGGAATGATGGAATGCAGTCGAGCACTCATAGCTTCGTCATCATAGAACCCAAAAGCCAGGCGCCGCGAGGAGAGAGGGGGGGGGGGGGGGGTGGGTGGGTGTTTGGGGTGTTTGAGACCATACTAGGGAGTCACCAAATGACTTAATGTATCACTACTATAGGATTAGAAGCAGAAGTCTGTCATTGACTATTAGAAGCTTAAGGAAAAGGCTTTATGCCCCTTAGGCAGACTTAGTGGTTCTAAGGTATCTTTATGATACGAGTTAAATGGTTTATAAGGTTATTTTGATCAAAGCCAAAGGAATCCTCATATAGAAAATTATTGCAAGGAGCCAAGGAGGTGATAATTGAATTTTATTCCTCTTTCGTGGATACAATTGCAAATTTTTTAACAAATGCTGGAAGACGGGTTTTTGTGATTGATAATTATTAGCTTAGTAATCCTACTGCATGAATACAACTAGGGAAACAAAATCAAAAGAAAATGGTATGACGAAAAGTTTTGATAAAGTTGAATGTCTTGTAAGCCACAAATTCTCATTAGCCATGCTCCTAATTTATATTACAGACTGAATATTATATAAGTGGAAAGTAAATCAAATCACTCATCCTATGCCTCTAATAGGCACATGATGAAAATAATATCATATTAAATCAAATTAAGATCAGATCAAATCCAATCCCTAGAGATGCTCCCAATACAGATCAAATCCCTACATTTTCTCCCAATACTCCCCCTCAAGCTGGAGTGAAGATATCAACTAAGCCCAACTTGCCAATACCAGAGTGAAGAGCAGATTGCCTTACTGACTTTGTGAACATATCGGCAAGCTGATTAGTAGAAGAAACGAAGGAAGTATGGATAACTCCACAGGGAGAAAGTGAATATCAACCTCAATATGCTTTGTCCTCTCATGAAGAACTCAGTCAGATGCGGGCATAATAGCAGACTGGTTATCACAGAAGAGAGTTGATGAACTAAATACAGGGAATCCTAGCTAAGTCAATAGGGAACAAAGCCAGAGGATCTCACAAGTGCCCTGAGCCATGGCATGGTACTTTGCCTCTGCAGAAGAACGAGACACAACACTTTGTTTCTTACTTTTCCAAGAAATTAAATTGCCCCCGTGAAAAGTACAGAAACCTGAAGTACAGCGACAGTCAGTCAGAGATCCATCATAATCAGCATCGGTGTAGCACAAGATAAGAGGCTGTGGTGTGGATTTGTATAATAGACCAAGTCCTGGGCAGGACTTGAGGTACCGAAGAATTCGGTATACTGCATCTAAGTGTGAGGTCCGAGGAGCATGCATGAACTGACTCACAACACTAACTGCAAATGTGAGATCGGGTTTAGTGTTTGTTAGATTAATTAAGCAGCCAACAAGGCGTTGATAAGCAGACGGATCTGGAAGAAGGTCTCTAGACTCGGCATCATGCCGATGCGTCGAATCCATAGAAGAGGAAGCAGGACGACACCCAAGCATACCAGTGTCCTATTTGAGGTCTAATGCATACTTCCGCTGAGAGAGCGAAATGCCATGCCTAGAGCGTGTAACCTCATTACCAAGAAAAAATCGAAGAGGACCCAAGTCTTTAACCTCAAAAGCCTGCCCATGGTCTATTTTTACCTTGTCAATGAAAGATACATCATTTCCTGTGACGATTATGTCATCAACATATACTAAGATAATGGCACAATAATTTTCTAGACTACAACGGAAGAAGCATGTGTGATCTGAGTGACCCATAGGAATAACTACATCACTGAATTGGTGAAACCATGCCCGAGGTGACTGCTTCAATCCATATAAGGATTTTAGAAGGCAACACACTTTCCCAGAATACTCCCCCTAAAGCCGAAAACCAGGAGGAGGATCCATATAAATTTCTTCTGTCAAATTCCTATGAAGAAAGGCATTCTTCACATATAACTAGTGAAGAGGCCAAGAGTAGCAAGCCGCTAAGGAAATAAGAAGGTGAACAGTAGTCAGCTTGGCGACTAGAGCAAAAGTGGCATTAAAGTCCTTCCTCGGAGTTTGTGTAAAGCCCTTCGTGACCAGCCTAGGTTTATAGTGATCAACAATACCATCTGGTTTATATTTGACTGTAAATACCCATTTACAGCCAACAATCCTCTCTCCTTTGTTGACTTTAAGATATAATCAAATCAAGAGTAAGTGATAAAGAAGAAAAAGAAAAAAAGAAGAAAGCGGATGAGAGAAAGAGATGGGGAAAGAGAAAAAGAATAAAAGAATACTTTCATCCTTCCACCACATTCTATTTATAATAAAAAGTTTCAGAAATTACATATAAGCCCCAACATTATATAAGTAATAACAAATAAGCCCCTGACAACACTCCCCTTCAAGCTGGTGCAAAGATATCTATCATGCTCAGCTTGACTAACATATTTTGCAAGCAAGTCTTGCTCACACCCTTAGTCAAAACATCAGCAACCTGATCATGTGTATTGATGTATGGAGTACAAATTAGCCCAAGACGAAGCTTTTCCTTGATGAAGTGTCAATCGACTTCAATGTGCTTTGTCTTGTCATATTGAACTGGATTGTGGGCAATGCTAATAGCAGCCTTGTTGTCACAATACAACTTCATTGACTCGCGAACAGGATAACCCAACCCACCCAACATTGTACGCAGCCATAACAACTCACAAACTCCATGTGCCATGGATTTGAACTCAGCCTCTGCATTAGATCTAGCTACTACAAACTGTTTCTTGCTTCGCCATGAAACAAGATTACCTCCAACAAATGTGCAATATCCTGAAGTAGATCGTCAATCTGTCACAGACCCTTCCCAATTAGCATCAGTATAGGCTTCAACACGCAAGTGGACATGACTGCCAAACAATATCCCCTTACCAGGTGAACCCTTGAGGTAGCAAAGAACATGATGAGCTGCCTCAAGGTGAGGTGTACGTGGAGCATGCATAAACTGACTAAGCACACTAACAACGTAGGCAATATCCAGGCACGTGAGAGATAAGTAAATAAGTCTCCCAACCAATCGCTAAAATCTTCCCACATCATATAATGGGTCTCCATCTACATCATTAATCTTATGGTTCTACTCAATGGGACTATCAATCGGTCTAGCTCCAAGCTTGCCTATTTCAGCTAACAAATCTAACACATACTTATGTTGAGAAATGAACACCTTACCCCTTTCTTCGATTTGCACACCTCGATGCCAAGATAGTATCTCAATGATCCGAGGTCTTTAACCTCAAACTCTGTCCCCAAGAATGACTTCATTCGACGAATCTCTTCTGGATCATTTCCAGTGATAACAATATCATCAACATATACAATAAGGGCAGTGGTGCAGCCCTGGTGCTTCTTGATGAAGAGAGTATGATCTACCTGACTCTGTGTGTAGCCTACTCTTTTCACAACAGTGCTGAACCTCTCAAACCAAGCACGTGGTGACTGCTTTAACCCATACAAAGCTTTATTTAGCTTGCACACTAAATTTTGACCATTAGCAAGCTTAAACCCTAGTGGCATAGTCATATACACCTCTTCCTCTAAGTCACCATGAAGGAAAGCATTTTTACATCCAGCTAATGTAAGGGCTAATTCAAATTAGCTGCCAAAAAAAGAAGAACACGTATAGAGTTCATCTTGGCAACTAGAGCAAATGTTTCCAGATAATCAATTAAATAGGTTTGAGTGAAGCCATTTGCAACTAACCGAGCTTTATATCTCTCAATTGTTCCGTCTGCATAATACTTTATTGTGTAGACCCATTTGTAGCCTACTTATTTCTTACCCCTAGGTAATGGAACAATATCCCAAGTACCATTCTTCTCAAGGGCCTTCATTTCTTCAAGTATAGCTTTCTTCCATGGAGTTTGGCTGAGAGTATCTGAAACACTAGAAGGAACAGATATAGAGGAGATACACGAAGTGAAAGCACGATATGTTGGAGATAAGGCATCATAGGATACAAATTGGGATATGGGATGCTTTGTACAAGTACGAACACCCATACGATAGGCAATAGGGACGTCAAGATCAACAAGAATGGTATTGGGAAAAGAATCAGGAGTATCAATGTCAACTAAGGAATTACCTGGATCGAGGGAGACTTCTTGGTCCTGGGGTGAGTCAATAACTTGTTTTGTCCTCCTAGTGTAGACAATTGGCTGCTTCCTACTGCAAATCATTAGTGTTAAGAGGACTAGACATAGGCACCTCAGTAAGAAGCTCCCCCTGAATGGGAACAGGCAAAGGAAGGGGGCATATCCTCTGAATGGACAATGGGTTCTCTACCTGTATAGTAGTCTCCCCCTGTAGAGAATCCTGAGCAGCGGAAAAAAAAAAAAAGGAACAGACTCAAAGAATGTAACATCTATAGAGACAAAGCGACGACGAGTGGTAGAGTTATAACACCAATACCCTTTCCGAGTGGCGGAGTATCCAAGAAAAACACATCGGATTGCCTTAGGGTCCATTTTGTCCTTGCGAAGATGAATGTGAACATAACAAACACAACCAAAAACTTTCAGAGGGACAGTAAACAAGGCAGTGTCATGGTGTAAGATAAAGAAAGGGGATTGATAACCAAGAACCCTAGTAGGAATGCGATTGATAAGGTATGTAGCTGTTAAGGTTGCATCAGCCCAATAACTTTTAGGCACTCCCATCCCAATTAGAAGAGAACGGGTCACCTCTGTAACATGACGGTGCTTTCTTTCTGCT